CTTCTACACAAGCCTCCGAGCAGAATCACTGTGAGTGAGAACACTGAGGATCAATAGTAAGTAACCTGCTCGGATTCACACACTTGGTCAGCAGCGGAAATGACTTTCAAGCCAAGGACTGTCCAAATCCAGGGCCACCTGCTGACTATTCAGCTCTTAGCAGTGGGTGGCCTTTCTGATCAGAGGCCCTGGGGGAGGAGAAGGGACTGAGGCTGTCACTCGCAGTGCCGGTGGCAGCAAACGCCCCGAACTTGTGGTTAGTAAGCAGTGTCACTAGAACTGCCCTCCATGGAGTGGGGCCAGTGTGTGTTCCTGTGTGCCAGCGCACTGGATGGGGCTTGTAGCTTTAAAGGGAACTTTCTGCAGCCTGTGACTTGAGCAATGACACGTGGGCTAGCACCATGGCCTTGGCTATCCAACCTTGCCTGCTCTCCATGTTACCCCTTCTTTGTGCCCGACTGCTGTCTGTAATTATGCTTCTGAGAACTCACATCAGTCTGTCCGTAACAGGTCAAAGGATCAAGGCAATGTCCTAGGGTCAAGTTTTAGAGGCCATCGGGGAATTTAGAGGCTGAAAGCCAACTAGTTAGCCAACACTACCATTACTGCCCGATCTCAAGATTCTATCCCAGCCTTGCGGAAGTCAGGACGACCCAAACCGAGCCATCGGGCTAGTGCAGGACCAAGAGCAGACGGTCCCTGTGCAGCCTAACCCTGCCTGCCCGTGTCACCTGTGCCACGAACGCAGCCGCACCACCCCCAAATCTTTACCTGCCATTACCTATGTCCCTTCTCGCCCGCTCAGATCCCAGCTGTCAGACTGCAGCTACATCCAGTTCTGGGCGCCATCTCCCATTTTTACACATAGACAGCGTCTCCCAGACACTGGCAAGAGGGAAGTGACTTAGTCAACATGGAACCAAAATTAAAGCCAAGCAATTAGCCCGCCAACCAAAACAAACAAAAACCATTCACTTCTATACATATCAATGGCTAGCTTAACACCAAGGGACAGCCTTGTGTAAAATAATCTTTCCCATTTCTCCAAAACCCTCACCCAGCCTGGGTCTCCATGGGAGCACTATTGGAGCCTCTGATGTGTTCCACACGTCACTGTAGCTCATTGCCTGCCGCCACATGCTTTATAGTCGAAGATTTAAAGGAGCAGGGACTATAATCTCCAATGATGCCTGCACAAGGTGAGGGCTTCACACACGCACTGGGGCTGGAAAGGCACCGGCACACCCCTTCCTGATGTTTATTCAAGGTCACCTCTGAGGTTCACTTTCACCTCATTTAACTTATGAAGTGAGAGACCCAGGCTGACTCAGGGTCTGTATTATTCCCCACTTTTCCCACCCTCCAACACGTATACAGTGAGTGGCCATGACACATTTTCTTCCCATTTCATGTTATTGTTCATGGTTTCGGTTTCCCACATCGGTTGACCTAGCACTCAATTGGGATCTGAGCTATTGGAACGTAAGGATAATCTAATTTTGCTAAAGAAAGAAACAAGAATTATGACTAATATTTATTGAGCACTTATTATGTACAAAACATCATGCATGTCCTCTGAGCTCATTACCTAGCTTAACCCACAGAACAAACCCATGAGACAGGCATTGTTATTATCATTACCACCACTTTGCAGTTCAGGAAACCGAGGATGAAGAGGTGATGTACCCAAGGTAACCTGGGTTATAACCAACAGTCCCGCTCTGTCAACAGGAAAGTCTATGCTTCTAAGGAAGAAAGGAAGGAGAGGGCAGGCAGGAGGAATGGGGGCTGTATTTGTGTCTTGCTGAACCATTATAGCTGTATCCAAGTGTTGGGAACCTTACACCTGGCTTCTAGCTAAAAACATTGCATTGATTACAGGAACCTGTGCGCTCCACAAAGCCAATCAGCTACAGGTACATGAGGTGTGCGTGCGCTCCCCAAGCCAATCAGCTACAGGCACATGAGGTGTCCACGAGTACTGGTTGCACCCAAGTAATCAATAAGCGGGCCCTTCTTTGTCTCAAGCTAGCCAATAGCAAGCAACCTAATCTCCTTCCTCTCCCTCCCCCCCCCATATATATACCCAGTTCGGAAAAATAAAGTTTGCAGCTTGATCAGAATCTTTTGTCTTGCTGCCATTCTTCGCGCCTCTTGTCCCCCCAACTCATTTGTTCTAGGTAGGTGGTCGAGCCCCAGTTGATTGCTCCGCGGGCCGGAGCATCCAAGGAACTGCAAGTTTTTAAAAGATGATTTTTAAAAACTCCCATTTCAAGGTGAAAAAGTGAGGTTGGGGCTAGAGAGCTTCTGAGTTACAATAACGAAGTTATAATTAATCCTGCGGTAAAAATAAAAGTGCTGTAGCTCCCTAAGTATATAGCATTATACCTGCTGCTGAACGGGGTGGATAGGGGGAGCGTTAACTGCATCATTAGCCCGGGCTCCCTGGGAATCCTGATGGCTCCCTCTCCCTGGCAGGAGAAAAAGAGCGCAAAGCCGGCACCGGATAACTCTGCTGCCCCTTACTCCTTTTTTTTTTTTTCTTCTTTCTTTTAAAAATGCAACCCAAAGCAGTCTGTGAGTACAAATCAAATTCCTTAGTTAATCTATTATGTTCTCACCAATGCAAAAAAAGGGAACTCAGGCTGTAGAGGAAATAATTGGGCTTGGCCTGCATGCCAGGTTCAATGCCAAGGTTCTGGGTTCTGAGGGGGCCCACATAAGGCCTCCTATGCAAGCCCGTCAAAGGAAGGAGGTGGATGGGAGGAACAAAGGGGTGTGAATGGGCTGCTTCCAGTGGAAGCAGAAGACGAAACCACCTACTTCCCCAGTTTGCCCAGACTTTTGATCTTGAGTGAAGGCTGCTTTCTAGTTTGGGAGAAGCCGCTGTGCCACTGGGCAGGGCTGTCCTTCATGAGACGAGGTGAACCGGCTTCCTCTGTTCCTCTCTGCCGGGGGGTGGCTCCCAGCACAGTTTCAACAGGAGTCCTTGCCCTGGTTTTAGTAGTCTGTCCTGACCTTCCCAAAACTCCCTTAAAACCCAAGATAGTTTTAATTCAGAAATGTTGTTTTTGAGAATTTTGCTAAGAGAAGTGGGCTCTTGTCCCTGCTCTAGCCTGATTTGTGGCTGCTTAGGTCATTTAATTGCCCTGGTCTTGCTTCTACACCTGTGCACGAGGGGATCCGCCATCTCATCGTTCCATGGGCTTGGTAATTGCATCCAAGACAAATGCCAGCCAGGGAGGTATATCAGCGGGAGCCGGAAGTCATACCCGATGGGGGGGGGGGTTAACTTAGTCAGCGCTTCCAGGCCCTATAAAATGATGCCATGGTGTTTTTTACTAGGTCAGTACTCTGGGTAAGTGATTTTACTTTTCATTTAATGTTTATTATTAATTTGCATCAGTCATGATATGTTTAGTGTCTCCACAGTTACTTCTAAAAATGAAACTGTGACTTACAGATAATGTTCAAATGGGAAATGCTTGGACTCTGGTCTTGCTATCTCGGAGCCAACTACCCAGGTGGATTGGTTGCCTGCAACACGTCAGTTGAAGGTGCATGGGGAAGCCCTGCCTTTGTACCTTGCTATCAAAACATATGCACTGTTGAACTGTTCCAGGGAGAGCTGTACCCAGCTTTCAAAGTAAAAGAATACGGAAAACTCATTCCTTAGAGTATCACCCGAGTTCAGATGCTGGCTTCTCCACACACTAGTGCGTGTTCTTTTTAGTTAAGATACTTCTTTTGTTTGTTAAAGTGTAAACCCATTTTACATATAAAGCAATAAACGTATTTTCAAAAAATTCGGACAATGGCACTTGATGAAACTTCAGAAATTTTCTAGATATTCACAATGCATTTCCTACATTTTACACAAATAGATTATGCTTACACAATGTTCTTTTTACCTTTATTAACACCTCTTAAAATATTACCATTTTCTTGTGGGCTTCCTAGAATTTCCTTTGTGTGGATGTTCCATATTTACTGAAACGGTCCTATTCATAAATGTATTGGCGGCTTTCTGTTTGGGGTACTAGTGAGCAAGGCTTTACTGAAATTTTGCTCACTTGTGCGAATCTGGCAGCCAGATACATTCCTGGGAGCAGAGCTGCCAGGTCCAAGGTTATGGTGATTTTCAATTTTGATAAGTATTACCAACTCAGCAGAGTTATTTCAGCAAGCCTTGATTTCTTCGTGTCTGTGAACAGTGGACACAGTGACTTTCTCCAAGGTTTTGTATCAGGAACAAGTGAGATTAAGATACGTAAAAGCCTAGAACAGTGAGGAGACTGTAACTGCATGTTAATCTCCACCCTTCCTTTTACTTCCACACAGTTTATGAATCCCACGATGAACTGGAGCGTTGGCCATGAACCCCACAAACAAAAAAACTTACAGAAAACCCTGTGCCCTTAAAATGTACCCATTTTAAACTCCACGGTTTAAGGTAACTCGTGAAATCTCTGGAGGTCAAATGAAGTATTTTCAAAAGGGCACAAACTTGTTATTAATTGTAAATCCCGCTTCCCTAGCCCAGTCAGGTCGCCTTGATTTGACAGTTGCTTCTTTTAACAAACACATGCGCCCGATGATACACACAGAATGTGCTAGACTGACGCCCCGACTACCCTCCAGCTTCCAGTCGTCATTTCTTCTTGCATGAAAATCTGGCTGCTTAAGTTGAGGCATTCATTTATTACTAAAACCTGCAGGTCCAACAAGGAAGAAAAACATTTTCACAAAAATGTGGAAAATTTTAGACCTCTCATTTCCAGTCCACCTCAGGATATTTAGTTGTGTCCTCTTCAACCCTCTAGGAGCCGCGAGGCATTTTGAAATTGATGAAAAGTGCAGAAGGGGGTTCGTGGGGCATATGCGAATGAAGTTCCAGCTGATGCGCACTCCAGGCAGAACCTTCTGGAAGGGCCGGTCGAACCAGGCAGCCATTGCTCCTCTGGGTTCTGGCTGTTTATTTGCCACTCATTTCACTCAGCCCAGGCCCAGCCGGCCCGGGTCAAAGATCAAGATCGCCGCCCAGGGGACGGAGACGTACCCTCAGCTTCGTGCCCCACGCAGCCCCCCCGCGGCGGCCGAGTGCGGCGCGGTCGCGAGGCGGCCGGTCGGGACTCAGGCCCGAGGGGGGCTCCCCGCGGGCGTCCTCCCCACGCTGAACGTTTCCGCGGGCAGCTCGGCGGGGGCGGGGTCCCCGGCGCAGGCCCGGCCGCGCGACGCGACCCCAAGCGCAGGGACAAAGGGCGCGGGCCGCGCGGCCCGGGGCGGAGGCTCCGGCGGGGGCGGGGAGCGGGCGCGGAGGCCGGGCCGGCCCTGGGCACCGGGCGCGCTTCCGCCGGCCGCCGCGCGCGCCGCGGTCCACGGGAGGCTCGGCGGCGGCGGCGGGGGCGGGGGCCGCGCAGCCGGGGAGTTTCAGGAACTGGCGGAGCGGGCGGCGGCCGGAGTCGCCGAGCGCCCACACTCGGGGCCGAGGCGGAGCTGCCGCCGCGCCGGGGCCCAGCCGCAGCTGCCCTCAGCGTCGCCTGCCCGCCTCCGGTCGACCGCGCGGCGCGGGAGAGTAGCCGGCCGTCCCGGGCCGGGGATCCGCCCGCCATGGCCACCAAGGTGAGGGGCGCGCGGCGCAGGCCCTGGCGGCCCCACGGCCCGGGGCCGGCGCGGGTCGGGTCGGGGCCGGACCGGGGGTCTCCGAAACCCCGGGCTGGGGTTACGCGGGCGAGAGCGTTCGGGACCGGCCTGGAGGTGCGGGAGGGTCGCGGGGCGGGACGCCGCGCGTGGACGGCGTCGCTTGCAAAGTTTGCGCCGGAGCTGGGGCCGCGGCCGGGCCGAGGGAGGGAAAGTTCCCGCAACCCAGGCTCGCTGGGAGTAGTCGCCCCGGCCCCCGCGGGACCACGATCACGTCCCCAGCGGTGTCCACTCCGCACAGTCCCGCATGTCCGGCCGCCGCGGACAGGCGCGTCCCCTCCGTCAGCCCGGGCTGCGACCCCCACGCGCCGGCCGGTTTGGGGGCGCGACCCCCGCCGGCGAGGACCAGACGACTTAAGTTCAGGCCCAGCTCGGCGGACGGAGCACGCAAATTGAACGCCCCGCGCTTCCATTTCCTTCGTTTTTCTTTTCTTTTTGTTTTTTTCCTTTTTGTTTTGCTACCTTTTCCGTTTGAATGGTATTTCCAGCGTGAATAAAATACGAAGTGGGAAATGACTGTGCTTTCAACACGTTTGCCTGAAAAAGGCCCAGGGCCGAATTACGTGGTGGAACTTGGACTCGTGTTGGTTACTGGCCAGCAGTGGTGTCTTGCTTATTTTAGGGTATCGCTTGTGGAATTACTGGTCACTCTTTGCCAGCTGAGTCTGCCGGAGTCACTTTTCTACGCGCCCGTTCCTGGGCCATTTTCCTTAGTCCTGGGTGTAAACCGGAGAAGCCTGGGCTACACAGTGAGGACCCCCCCCCCCCCCAGTCCTGTGGTTTAATGGATTGTGATGGATGGATTGACTTTTGCAGGTGGCTTTTGTAATAATACCTTCTGAACATCAGCACCGTCTTTCGTATTCATGTTTGAAATCTCCAAGTTCCTTTTGGGGTGGTGAAAACCTTAATTTTGTTGTTGGGTTTTGGTTAGAGAGATGATAACTTAAGAAAATGGTAAGAATTTTGAAGTTCCATTGCAAGATCAGATTGGCTGATGTCATTTGTTACGTTTTATGCTCGGAAACTGTCTAGGTGCAGTGGGGTTTTTTTTTTGTTGTTTTTTTTAATGGAGATTATTCTCCAAGGAACCTATTGCTTGCTGCCACTTCTTGTTAAAATATTATTGCCTGTGCTCTTTCTTGGTTTTATCAGATGTCATAGAACTTGCTTCCTTTTCAAAACGCGTATAATTTTGTGTTGATTTAAAAACAAAACAAAACTGAACTCAAGCTAAGGATTTCTAAGGAAATTTGATTTTGAGGTTAGTTGACACACATTTCGGAAATTACAGGTTACGTGGTCTTATTCTACACTCATCTTGCAACCTTCGGGGCTGTGTGTGGGAGATACCTATTTGGTGGTGGCCAGTGTTGTGATATTTCTCATTCTGGACTACAGTGCATGCTACCGGCACTACCTTAGCAGCTGGTGCAGGAATAGGTGCCCCTGAACTTCATTTTTCCCTAAAATAGGGAACAGTGCTGGTGGTCATGCTCAACCTGAATTGCACGTGTCCTCACTGAATACAAGCCTCGGAGCATGCATCAGCACTTCCTCTGGGGTGGTCTGTCCTGCTCTGAAGACACAGTCCAGTGACTCTGGCTTTTAGTTTCTGTGACCTTTCTAATCAGCATTCCACATGGGGACCCATGTCCGTGTCGGGGCGGGGGGGGGGTGGCAGTGACAAAACCACTTCCGTTTTTTTTTTTAAAGGAAGAGCAAGGAAGCACGTAATAAAAAAACGACCCTGTCTCAGTTTTCTGGTTTTCCTGCTTCCTGGTGATTCTTGTATCAAACCAAACTCTCATTTTTCAATTGTTCCCAGGGAGTAACGTTGTCCTTCTTGGCTCCCCTGCACCTGCCACCCAGACCTCAGCCCTTACCAACCTCTGAGTGGTTTGGGCTCCCCTTTCCGTAATTGGGTATGTGGGGAGAACACACTTTCAGTAACTGGGAGCATCCAACTTTTTATAAAATTGACCTCACCTGGCACTCAGGCTCTCGCAGTAAGTGATGACAAATAAGTACCGTGCCTGGATATTTTAGGCGGTGTTGGGTTTCCCTTTGAATTTATCAATGAGAGTGGCTTCAGTTCTTTGGATACAATTTCCTTATATATTGTTCTTGTATGTTTTCTTGAAGACACACTTCCAACTGTCATGATTTTTAAAAAACTTTTCTGGTCAAAATAGAAATTATCTTTGAGAAGAAAAATTTGAATTGGTCAGTTCTTTGCTGCCCCAGAAAGTTGGTCAGTACCTGCATATTTAAAGGGGGTCGATGGTCTGTCCCTTGATCCTGGTGGACAGTCAGCGTGCTGGACTCACCTGTGTCCTCAGGGACCCGTTTGGTCCCCTTTAACGGATGCAGGGAAAGGCTGATGTGAGTGGCAGAGTCTTTTGTTCAAAGCTCCAGAAGGGCATGTTCTGACACAGTCATGTGGTGAACTTAGGGGTAAATTAAGTTTTATTTATTAAATCTTGAGAAAGAAATTTTTTGGTCCCTAATTATCAAAAGGCACATAAAGAAAATAGTTAATGAGAGCTAATCCGTAGCTGTACCACTTAGTTGTCATTTCCATTTCAAAGTTAACCTTTGGTCACTGACTGGATCCTTTTGTGCTTACCTAGTCACTTTTAGGGGAAACCATTATAACAAGAGTTCTTCGGGCTTTTTAAAAAAACTTTTCTTTCCAGTTCAAATGTCTAAAGCTGCACATTCGTGTTATACCGCTTGTGCAGTAGAATAGAGTGGGGATGTGATATGGAAATACTGCTGGGAGATCGGTGAGTTGCTAGGAGTGTCCATGATAAACATGACAGGGAAGGGTGTGGAAAGCAGACTTTGTGGTCGCTCCTGAGCAAAAACCTCTATCTGAACAAAAAGAATAGAAATGGCTTTCTAAAGAGCGTTCAGAGTTAAAGTTGGTTTTGAGAGTTTTTTTTTAAAAAGAGCATGGAAAATGCTAAGCTTTAAAGTTTTTGTAACAGTCATATTTTTAAAAGACTCAGTAGACTGTCTGCAGGGCTTGGGTAGAGTCCAAGAAAAATTCTGTGACGGTAGAAAGGTAAACCAATTACATATTAAACAAGGAGCAGATTAGAAAGCATGAAAATTTCTGCAAAGTTTTCTTCTGCTCCCTGTTTTCATTATTTATTTATAATCCTCACCTGAGGATGTTTATTGATTTTGAGAGAGAGACCGCAAGCGCGTTTCTTGTATGTGCCCTGACCGGGGATTGAACTTGCAACCTTTCGGTGTACAGGACGACACTCCAACCAGCAGAGTCACTTGCCCAGGGCACTGCTCCCTGTTTTTATATTGACCATCGGAAAATTGAATTAGTTTTACTTTGATTGCCCGCCAGACACTTTGTAACTTTGCATGTGCTGTTTTTTATTTTCTGGAGTGCTGGTCTCTGACCTTTTCCCCCAGGCACCTTCTTTTTATACATTCTGTCTCATTTCAAAGCCTTACTTCCCTCACTTTCCCTCTGGAAAGCATTCCTGATCTGCCTGACCCATGTGCCAAGGTCACATATATCCCTACTGCCATTTAAGGTATGTTCCTACAACCAGGGGCAGCCTGCTTTCGAATGCCGTCAGTTCCAGTTCCAGGGAGCTGGTACTGTGTGTTTGCTCACCTTGGCAGCCTCTGTGATCAGCACGAACTGAGGCCCTTGATAAGCTATTATTATGCAAGGGAACGCTGATTTTTCTTGCCCCGGTACCTCTCTCGTACCTCTCTCTCCAGTTTGAAATAGCGAAAAGATATTCCAGTGAGATAAGTGACTGTTAGAGAAAACTATCTCCAACTGTAAGCTTCTGTTCATTTAATCGTGCATTGTAGTAAACTTGTTTTTCAGTACACAGGGAAAATGCACACGGTGGCTTAGGTGTTAACAATGTTTCTTAAATATAATAATTCACTTTTATTAGTGATTACATGAGAAGTTGGTTCTAATGTTTTAAGGGAACTGGAACAAGTTTCATACTTCTGAAACTTTGAAAAGATTTATCTTAACCCATGAGATGTTTAGACATCTTTAATTTTTTCTGAGTGTTTTATTGTTTTACACAATAGCCTTTTTATAAAGAAAAGGATTTTATTTATTTTATTTTTAGGGGAAAGGAGGGAGAAAGAGGAGAAGGAAAACATCAATGTGTGTTTGCCTCTCACACGCCCCCTACAGGGACCTGGCCAGCAATCCAGGCATGCGCCCTGACTGGGAATTGATCCAGGGACTGTGGTTCGCAGGCTGGTGCTCAATCCACTCAGCCACACCATCCAGGGCTGAGTATTTTATTTTTTAAATAATTTTTAACTTTTTCAATTATAGTTCACATATAGTATTATATTAGTTTCAGGTACAACATAGTAATTAGAACATTTATACAACTTACAAAGTGATCACCCTAATAAATCTAGTACCCATTTGACAACATGCATAGTTATTACAATATTACTGATTGTATTTCTTATGTTGTACTTTACATCCCCATGACTGTTCATAACTACCAGTTTGTACTTCGTAATCCCTTCGCCTTTCTCACTCATTCCCCCAACCTCCATCTGGCAACTGTCAAAATGTTCTCTGTATCTGTGAGTTTGTTTCTGTTTTGTTTGTTCTTTTATTTTTAGATTCCAGATCTAAGTGAAATCATGTGGTCTTTGTCTTTGTCTGACATTTCACTTAGCATGATACCCCCTAGGTCCATCCGTGTTGTTGCAAATGGTAAGATTTCGTTCTTTTTTATGGCTGAGTCACACTTCATTGAATATACGGACCACTTTTTTATCCATTCATCTGTGATGGACACTTAGGTTGCTTCCATGTCTTGGCTGTAGGAAGTAATGCTGCTGTGAGTATCTGGGTGGATGTGTCTTTTTGATTAGAGTTTTGGGTGCTTCGGGTAAAG